CAAATATGTTCTATATGCATAATTATTTGGAAGAACTTTTAAGTAAATTATCTGCAACTTTTACATATATCCTTTAAAATTTCACATGAAAATACATGTTCTTACATAATCACTTGCAATAACCTTACAAGCAGAACACTAGTAATCTACAAATATTCCCTTTAGTAATTCACATTCAAAAATTACGATCTACTTACACTATTATTTCCTGTAATCTTTACAGATGTTTACATTGGTAAATCACATATGAAAAACATGTTATACTTACACGATAATTTCCTGTAACATTACAGATCAAAGATCTGTAACCTTTACAGGCATATGCTTCGGTAATCAACATACAAAAACTTTGTTATGCCTACAGAATAACTTCCTGTAACATTACATGTCAAAACATCTGTAACCATTACAGGTATAATCTCTGTAAAGTTACTAAGAAAATTCCTGTTTTGATTACTCAAATAATCCATGGCATCCCAGTTTTCACGACTTTTCTTAGTAACTTTACAGATTTTTTACAGTGTGCTAAACCAGAGGTGTGCCAAAAAACTGCGTTTTAGGTTCATTTACTTAGACTATATAATGGTTATTACCGAGACAATAGATGAACATGTTCGGGATTTACATGAAGTGTTTCTTGCTTCTGAAGCGAGCAAGTTTAAAGGTGAATTCAGGTTTAAAGTTTTAACTTAAAATTGACTGTTACATTTAGTTGCATCATCATGAGTTGTAGCTTATTTTGTAGCATAAGACAGTGTTTTTGTGTTTTAAATTCTGTTTAAATAAAAAGGTTATTTTTACCCTTCTCACGTCTTTGTCGTTGTTTCAGACATAGCGATAATTCGCTTCCCATCTGTTAAAATGTTATTGGTCCAATGTAGCATTACCAGATAAAGTGTAACCTCTATCGTTATCGAGGGCGATCTGACACGTGTTCGTCTTCTTTAAGAACAAAGCCTTCAAAATCCATAGAATGTTTTCAAAATTTATGCCAAACTAAGGCTATACTTCGCGTAATTTTAAATTTCACATTGGCAGGGTTTTTTCTCAATTAGAAACTTTTTTTCTTGATAATAGTCATATTTAATTGCTTAATTTCTAAAATATTATTGCTAGAAACGATAAAAATACATTCTTTAGGAGACGTTATGCTTTCTAATACATTCAGTGTTTTCAGGTTGGACTAAATATAAGTAGAGGATTTAGATATCTTTTTCACAATCAGATTTCACTATGCATTATTGTCTACGGGTAGATGTTTTTTCTCGCTTAGAATATTTTTGCAACATATAAAATGAATTCCACAAAGCCCATATTCCATACCATTATTTATGTGAACATAAAAATACATTTATCGAGTATAGATTCTTGATTAACGTTGTCTTTGTCTGCATGGTGTCTTGTTAAATGTAGACTGTCTCCTTATAGCAGTTACAGCCTAAAGGGAAAATTCTGTTGAGGATTTGTATAAGAAACCATCAGGGTAGGAAAACAAATTGAGTAAATGTTTAAGAAAAACAGATGACAGTGAAATTATGAGCAAACAGTATAGTATGGGAAATAAAGCAAAACAACTACAGCAAAAAAATCTCACAAACCGAATCTGAAAAACTTCTTCAGTTTTAAAGAATAAAGATAGAAAAAAAAAATATTACAGTTTTTGGTGTGGGAGCCGAATGTTGTTTACTTTATTTTCTGCATGTGTGAAGCACTGAGAAACTATGACTACTCATATGCAGTTCAATTCTGGTACACTATTCTTATTCATGTCAATAATTTAATTCGAAAGGAAGGCACTTTGAATTATAAATAAACGCTATGTGTTAATGAAGATTCCAAGTAAATGGATGTAAAATAAAGCTATAAAAAGCAAACGAGTATGTTTAGGTTTGTTTATGTTATTAGGGGGTGTTGTTCAATTCACTAATATCGAATCTAGAAATTTAAAAATAGAAATTTTCTTTTGAAGCAATGGTGAGAGAAATTTAGTGGAAGAAAGTGTGGCATTAGATTTTCTTAGTACACTTATATTCTAATAGGTTATGAAAAATCACGTAATTTTAAAAATTTGTTAATATACAAAGGCACACGAATGTCCCTATGTAATATAATTTCGAAATAAAATGATTAGTTATAATAACTTATGTAGCAGTCTAAACATGTCACAGAAAATGCAGTTTTAAAGGGTGTAAGGATTATGTAAATTTTATTAACAGTTAAATTTTGATTTAAACTTCCTTTCCTATCGCTTCTTAATTTCAACTTACCACTTCCGGCCAGAACGTAGTTTTAGAATCACGTCTGAATGCTAATGAGGAAGAGTGGTATTTAACCGCGAAGTTCTACTGTCTTAGTTAGAGAGATACCAGATATTCTGGCTAGCACGCGTCCGCCTTTTTACGCTACTCTCTTTTAAGCTATTATTACGCTCGGCCGTATTTTAGGACCTTGATAGCTTCGCAGTCAATTAACGTTAAGGGACCAACTCTGTTAGAATTTTGATAGCTTCGGCTATATCTCTTTAGTTAAGATTAGTTTAATTTAATTCTTAGTTTCTTAAGTCAAGCCCAAGTGTCGGCTTTATTGTACACTCCAAGACGGAGTTCTGTCATATCTTATTTTGAGTAATAAAGGATTATTCTACCCTTCCATCTTTTTGTTTCTCGTCACACGAACTCAAGCGATTATTCGCTTACTAGTTCTTAAGATTCTTCACATCCAACTGTAACTTAGTATTACACAGTGGGGAATCCTGCAAGGGTATCAAGGTTAGGGCGCCCCAGTTTACAGGGGGCCCCAAAATTACTTAAATCGGCCCTGTATTCATGAAAACTCCTAAATACTTTATTTATGTAACTTCTTCTGTAAGAACTCCCCAAGTGATAAACTTATTCTGCAATCAATATCCGTCTCTTTATGTGCGATCATAACTTTGCTTTTGAGCGAGTTGAATTTCAGTATTATTAAGCTTCGATCACCGAAAAGCAGTATTCAGTAAAACTTGAGCCAACGAATCAGCATCAACGAAACATTTAAATTGAACAATTAAAAGCAGATCATACGTAAAAGCAATTTTAAAACGCTTTTGAAAACCAGATAATTCACTTACACGCACACAAAAAAGAGCTGATCCTTGAAGGAAAGCCTTTTTCCAAATTACACTCGTCTGCAAAATTAACAGAGCTTACAAATTATGTTTAATTTAATATTGAACCAAAGGTACTAATTATGCCGTCGAACAATTATGCAAATACTCAGTCGAATACGTAAACGTACATTTGCGTCTTTGAGGAGTTGTGATTGTGGAGGGGATCTAAGCGCGTTAGGGGTTTTCCACGATTTGTGTGCTCACCTTCTACGACGTTTTTTGTAAGAGTTGGGTAACGTTTATAAGGTTTGGTTTGATCTAGTTGATTATGGCAAAGCACGCTAGGATTATCTACCTAACGGGAGGGGTACCTTCGTGGAGGATATTCTAAGGCAAACTGGCTTTTATACACATTACACATGGGGAAAACCAAGAAAACACTCAGCAGCTAGCCCGTTCGTCTGGAATCGAACCCAGGTCGGAACTACCAGTGTTACGGGATTTTACCGTTCGGTCACTGGTGGACTTGTATAATTTCTCAGGTAAAATAAGTAGCGACGAACTTATAGATGATGGAGTGAGATGGAGAATTCTCGGTAGATTGGAGGCAGGCCAATCACAAACGCAGGTAGCTAAGATGTCATGTAACGCCCAGTGTCGTCTAAAGTTTGTAGAAACTGTTTCAGGACACTGGGTCCATATCGAGAAGATATGGACAGCGTCAATTAAGATCTACAACAAAGAATGAGGATCGTTGTTTGGCATTTTCATCGCGGCGACATAGTACTGCTACAACTTCACAGCTGTCGCTTGAGCTGTATACTGCCGCTGGAACTCGGGTTTCACAGTCTACAGTTGCCCGAATTCTTCAGGCGATAAGGCTGTATACCAGAATACCCGCTGTTTGCGTCCTGCTCACTGCAGCATACAAAAGAGCACGTTTAGCATAGTGCAGACAACATGCGCCTTGGACATGTGTTTTACAGATAAGTCGAGATTCAACTTGGATATTGTTTCTCGGAATAATTGTACTTGGAGAGAGCTTGGGACACGGTACCATCCCTCCTTCATCAGGAAAAGGATCAATATGGTGGTGAGAGGTACAATGGTTTGGTCAGACATTTTGTTATACGGATGCACATTCCTGCATGTGTTTGACAAAAAGTTCTTGACTGCTATGAGGTATAGTAATGGAGTTTTATGTTCGACTTCTCAAGCGCATAGTTTGCCCTAGGTTCCAGTTAACAAATAGCAAATCTCGTCTACATAGAGCTCAGCTGGTCGACGATTACCTGCAAAGTGAGGATATTCGCCGCTTGGACTGGTCAGCCAGATCTCCTGACTTTAACCCTATACAGAATGTATGGGATGCTCTTGAAAGGACAGTTTGATCTCGCCATTCCCCACCAAGAAATACCCCGGAGTCGAAAAGTTCTTTGCGGCAGGAATGAGATCGAATGCCGCAGGGACTCTTCAACCGTCTCCTGTCCAGTATGCCATCACACTGCGCCATCTGTCAAGCTGTGAGAAGGGATCATACTCCATATTAGACTTATTTTCAGTTCTATTTCATTTCGTGGATTTTGAACATCCCTTCATTATGAGTTTTGCTGATAATCATGTGCACATAAAATAACTTTTGAGTGGTACATCTCTTTGTGTGTTATAAATGTATATTCATACCAAATTTTATTAAAGTCTGTCCATTAGTGTTTCCAAAATTCTACATAATATGCAAATTCTCTTAATTTTGCACACGAGTGTACACCGAAGAGCCATTACATTATGACCACCCTCCATCTATAACAAAGGACTCGCCCAAGAACAAAACCAATGCGGTTGCGTGGCTGATGTTGGAGTGTATAAAGCGGTTATGCATTGTCTTTTCAAACACAGTGCGATTAGCGACGCAATGGAAACAGCAGCTGATTTATCAGACTTTGATAAAGGTCAAATCGTTATGGCTGGGCGACTGGGAACATCAATATCAGAAGAAGCGCATTTAGTGGGCTGTCCACGGGCAGTAGTGAGCGCATATCGAATGTGGTGTATGGATGGTGAAACGACAATTCGCCGGCCAGCAGTGTGCCGTCGACGGCGCATTGATTTCAGAGAAGAACGGAGACTGCTACGCATTGTTCACCATGACCGAAGAGCTACAACGGCCGAAGTCATCACCAGCTACAACAGTGGCGACCCAGACAGAAATTGTGAACATCCCGTGCAGCGTACATTGCTACGTATGGGCTTACGCAACCGGAGGCCGAAGCAGGTCTCTGCACTGACAGTACGTCATCGCCAGCTGCATCTGCAATGAGCCAAGAAATATCGGAATTGAACATTAGAAGAATGGAAGAAAGTTTCATGGTCCGACGAATCACGTTTTCTGGTCCATCTCATCGACTTGTGTTGACGATTTCCAAACGAAATCCTGTTTCCTGGATGCACAGTTGGACGGTGGCGGGGGTATTATGGTGTGGGCAATGTTTTCTTGGAGCACATTAGGACCCATAATTCCCATAGTACAATCCCTGACGTCTGTGCGCTACGTGAACATCGTTGCAAACGGGTTCCTCCATTCATGACAACAGTATTTCTGGCGGGGGGATGGTATTTACCAACAGGATAATGCACCGTGTTATAAGGGTTGAATCGTCAGGGAATGGTTCGAGGAACATTCCAATGACTTTGAAGTCATATCTTGGTCTCCAAATTCACCTGACATTAATGCAATAGAGCATTTGTTGTCCCACCTGAAAAACCAAATTCGTGCTGCCTCGCTACGTCCTCGCATTGTGTGGGAATTGCAGAACCAGTTGGTGAGCGCTTTGTACCAGCTACCTTAGAACACGTATCAGCACTTGTGGAGTCAATGCACGCCGGGTGTTGGCAGTTTTGAGGGCTAAAGGTGGTTCTGCATGTTATTAACAGGGTAGTCATAATGTAATGGCTCTTCGGTGTATATTCTTTCGTAATATTGCCTAGAGAATTTTCTACAGTGAGAGAGTGCGGGTATAAAAAAAATCCTTGATCAGGTAGAGGATGTTCTTAGGTACTTTAGCGTATTTCAACAGATTTATGATTTCGGGTTATTACAAAGCATTATCAGAAGCTCCTTTTATATCTAGAAGCATTAAATTCGTGAGGTATTTTTTTCGTTTACCTCGCTTTACTATATCTCATAAGAGAAGAATTGCGTTTTCAGCAGAATGTTGAGACGTAAATTTATACTGATCTTGATCCAAAATATCCAGTTTTGGATATTTTGAAGAAGATTCCGTCCAACAACTGTTACATCAGTGTAATCAGATCCCTGTGTGCCACAAACAGAGGATCAACAATCTTCATTAATAACAAAAAATGGCAAGTTATCAAAACCTCAAACAGCTTTAACCCTTTGTATTCGAGAGTGCCTCTCGGTCGTCACTTTATTTGATGTACGTAGTAACTCGAGAGGTGACTCTCGGTCACCACTTGACGTGTGGTAACGCGAGAGGTGACTCTCGATCACCATTCGGTTTGAAGTGATAATTTGAGCTGTAACGAAATTTATTTAGGTTTGGTTTGGGCAATATCGCTTCATGAGTGTATTCAACAATACATGTGTATAAAATAGTAACTACTAGTCTTTAATCTTAAATTCGTTTCTTAGATTTGTTGTCATATATGACTCTTCCACGTTAGTTCGAAATCGACAATCGTGGCAATAGGAGTACTATTTTGAAAGTTACAGAGACCAGTAAGAATGGAATATGACGAAGAAATCATCTCAAGTGAAAAGAGTTCGATATTTCTTTAATGAAGAACGAAATTACGTCAGTGCAAAGATTACTTGACGATAGAGAGAAGGAAAGCAGTGATGGAGATAGCGATGAAGTAAGAGGTGTAAAATGGCAAAATACCAGGTTAATAGATAGTGAATATGAAAGTGACAGTAATTTCACAGGAGAGAGAAAATTCAGAATGGTTAGCGTTCATAGAATCTAAAGAAATATCGCAAAATGTATCTTTTTATCCGCCGAAAGAACCGCAGGACCTCAAGTATCTTCAGACATAAAAGAACTATTAGATTTCCTTAAATACATTTCTAGAAACTGTTTCTATCAGCTTGTGAAAGTTATTAATTCTTTGAAGCGGAAAACGTGAAAAATCAACTGTTTCTTCTCTAGGATCTTTGCATTGCCACTTACAGTTAGTGTACTTTCCAACAAAAATCGCCATGAATCTTTCAGGAATGAACAGAAAAAACAGACGTAGAGTGTAGCATCTAGCAGTTGTCTGTAATTCCCTCTACAGAGCGTTTCAAGTTGCACAGGTGCAACATTTGCAGTCTTGGGTTAGTAAAAGTAATGCATCTGTGAATTACAAAGTTGTAATACGATAAAATGCATGCCTGGTAAATGGCATACCTGATATACAGTAGTGACTATTGTTTGAGTAGTGTGATATGGAACGCCACCAAGTCTGACCATAACAAACAGTGTTGTGAAGTAAAAACTATATAATAGGCAGTCCTGGATTAAGACCTCTAGAAGCCTTAACCAATTTAAAAATGTTGGTTTCCCTCACATACAATATCGCCAGTTTTTTTCCCCCATTTTGTTTTCTCTTTGAGGCTTAGTTTAGCTGTACCATACATTCCATGGTAAAACTGGTAATGGGAAATTTTTATGGTGCCTCCTTCCCTTGATGACTTAAGCACATACTTATTTTGCTTAATGGTTAATCCAACTGATTATACAATTAGTCAAATGGCTTGCAAGCCTCATGTTATACCACAAATATTAGTGACGGTTGTGAAGCAGACATGCTACTTTGTACGAGAGTGGCTTACCTTTTCGAAGCGATAAATATCCTTAACCATAACTACTCGAAAATGCAAGACAACGCTGAATAAAATGCAGCTGGATAGGACAGGAATAAACGTACAAGTCACCAGGACTTTATACCATACACTGATAATAAAGTGCGGGAAAGCACACAAGGGCTATTTCCCTAGAGCAAGGGACGCCTTCGTGATGGACTTTATAAAGGAAAGTGGCTTGTATTCACGTTAAACATGAGGTGAAAAACAGAAACCAACCATGTACTCATCCCGTTTGTCTGAGACTGAGTCCAGGTGAAACTCCCATTATTCAGCGGTTTTAGCTACTCGGCCACAGGTCGGACGAAAAAACAAGGGAGGGACATGAATTCCTAACACAAAAAACACAAAATCGTTCTTTAGAACGAAATAATTCTAACCGAAGTTTTGAAAGAAACTTTATTTGATGTCTGTTAAGAAACAGCTCATTATATTATCCACGCTTTTCTATTTAAAATTTAATGTTCGTGGCAGCGATCAACCTAAAACACCAAAACAGAAGGTAGGGTTACTTCTAGAGTTTAATTAAAAAAAGCTTTTAAATCTACAACATGAAAAACAAAATTACAGGATATGGAAGAGATGAATTTTCCAGGAAATTATGCAAAAACTTTGGTTATTAAGTTTTACTTCATCAGTCCCTTCATATAGACATTCTCAATCGTAAGACACTACAAAAAATTCAGCAAAACTCAAAACATCAAAAAAGTCAGAAATTGTTTTTATAATTCTTATTTTTATAAATAAATATAAACTAAGTCATGATTCTCTGAATAAATATTGAAATATTGCCTTAAATATTGAAAGGTGAAACATTTTATTCTGAAAATTTATTAGATATCAAGTCTATATCTGTTTAGGATTTGAAAATTTATAAACTTAACAAAACGTTTACTAAATTTATAAACTGATTTTTCAGAAAGTTTTTTTTTTTCCTTGTGTGTGTAGGCATATAAATTGCGAGGTAATGGCATTACACAATACCTTTTCATTTTTATTTTATTTATTTATTTATTTTTTTTTTTTGGTGTGTGTGTGTTTGTGAATTTATCTTGAACGTGAAACGCAGCTTAACAGAAAATAGTCATGGAATCTAAATGTTTGAAAATTTCTCTGTTCTATTGAAAAAGAAATTCATTGCGCAGATATAACTTTGTTTGGAAGTAATATTTCTGATAATGTTTACTTTTCGGACTGTGAAAACCTTTAACAAACGCTTACACATAAGACTTCGATAGAATTAGTTTTAATAAGACTTATTCTATCGAAATACTAAACTAGAATAAGTCTTTAATAAACTGATCGTGAAGGAAATTTAAGTCATAAAATTGCACAAATTACTCAACGAAAAACGGATTCAAGATTATAATAAACTAAAATCTCTGCAGAGTTTTCCGCAGGATAGATTATTAAAGTAATATGACTTTACAAGAATTTGGCCTAAAAAGTAATAACAAAGAACACAAAAAATACGGGAATTCTGCAAATTAAGCTGAAGCTTCTAAGTAAAACCCAGGTAGTAACCCAAATAGTAACACAATGGCTTGTCTCTGAGACGTGACAGCTGGATCACGGGCCTGCCTCGAGCAATTTTATTTGAAAGGCGATTGCTTAAAGAGTATTGAGGGGGGGGGGATCACAGCATCGATCGCATTTCTGGTTTGCACCCTACCTAACATTAGAGGGCTCTAAAAATAAAAATTTCTTTTTCCTTTTCTTTTTATTCGTTCTTCATCCCGGAAATGTCATCAGCGTCAGGATCTATCTGTTTTTATCTTCTTTTTCTCTACCGTCTTCTTTGTGAGTTCATAATGGAGGCTGCGAGGATTGTTTTCGTGTTTGGCAGAATATTGCTCTTTGACATTTTTCTTTTTTTTATATCTACTAAACCATCTCTGGCTTTTTCTAAATGAGACTTTGAAAGTCTGACTGAATTAATTAGTTAGTAATTCCAGTTAGAGATGGTTTATTACCTCCACTGCCTAGAAAATTGAAATATATGCATTAATATAACAATTCTTATAATTTGAATTCTATGAAATTCAAGCAACATATAGACAAAATTTCGGTTCCAAAAATGAACACTGATAAAACGTCTATGTAACTCCGACTGTAAAATTTGCTCTTTGTGATCAAATTATTAGAATTCCTATTGTAGAGCTATTAATTATTTTGAAGCAGGAATACATAAAAAATGAGCAATACCCTCGTAAAGACAAGAACCTGGACCTCTCGAATACGCGTCGAATGTAACGGTAGTACTACCGTTACAAGACGAAGGCCTATGCAGAAAGGAGTAGAAAATATACCTAATATACTCCGTCTTTTAAAGGACGACTGGGGATTAGGGAACCCAGTCGCTAAATCCTGGTGGTGAAGAATCATCATCCACCATCTTTTAGTTCGGGTGCCACTGTAGAGTTATTAGGATTTTTAAAGTAGGAAACACGAAA